TTGAAGAAAGGTTATCCTAAATTTTCTGTAATTTGGTATGTTCTTCATTGAGACATGAATAACTATATTTATCAAGCCTACTTAACAGACTGATATGAGGTTTGTGGAAATATATGTGCTACCATTATGTGTCTACTTTTAAACAAAATTTGTTTCTAAGGAAAACTCTATGGGGGTAGAAAGAAAGTACAATTTTATTAGATAGTGTTTATCTTAGAATTCGACAATATGATTTATTTTGTGATGTGTATATCACGTTATTTATTTCTCGGAAGAAATGTATTATTTGGGATTCACACCACTGATTTGGTTTTGAGTCTAGTTTTCAATACACGATATTTCAAGAAGAAATTCTCTGAGGCTTGAGAAAAACAATTTTTTTATTGAGCGATGCTCAACTTGATTTTGTGTTGAAAAAATTGCATTATGATATAAAAGTCACTGAAAGGTAGACTCACTCATAGTGTGATTTAGGGATAGAACTGAGCACTATTTTATATTTTTTTAGTCTATTTCAGTACTCAAAAGGATTCAGAGAGAAACACTTTATAAGTTGAGAGATATCATACTTTTATTGTGGGATACTCATGTTCTATGCTGCAGTAAATTAAAAGATATGACATGTTAAGGCACATCTTTGGATTCCTAAATATGGAGACCTTTTTAAGACTCATTTTAAGATATTTTATAGTGTGCCATGAGTATGATTTATTATAGTACAACTTCAGAGAGATGTAATACAGAGTTGGCAAAATAAAACACTCTATATGAATATTATATTTGAGAATAGCAAAAAGAAGAAGAAACACAATACCTATAAAAAATATCTTGGTTTTTTCGAAATGAAGGGATATATAGAGAGGCTTGGTGGTAGAATAGAAACGCTAAAGATTAATGGGAGAATCAAAATTGTGATATTTGAAATCATAGGATAAAGAAGATTATTTCTTCATGGTGTGAGATGGGAAAATCTAAGTGCCAAAAAGATGGACACTTCATGACATATGAAACCGATGACCAAAATTATCCATCAGTTGCGTGCTCTTCCAAGATCACAAAAGCTTGTCAAACACATAAAAACAATTAATCAATAAAGCCCAGGTACCACACTACATGGTTTTGAGGTATGAAATCTACCATGCATTTAATGGTAAGGTCATATAGATAAAGATGATTCAATACTTTTATTTTATATGCTTTGGTTATATTTCGGCTAATTGCTTTATGAATATATATGGAGTGTATGGATATTAAGTGATAGGTGCTAACAAATTTGAAAGAGCCAATTTTTGAATACCTTGTGTTTTAGTGCCTCATTGTGCTAGAGTATAAACTACTTAAGGTAGTAATACACATGGAGATGTGATTTGATCAAGGGCGTTGAGCCCTAAGGATGAAACACGAAAGATGGGTGTGATCATCCGATGGAACTTGGTCTTAGTGATCATCCTCCCAATAATGTTTATAATATGATGTGTTGTATGTGATGATGATCTCTTGATAAAGTCTTTATATTTGCCAAAAAGGAAATATTTTGTTAAGGCTTTAATAGACATTATTTAGTCATGTTTTATTTTGGATAAAATTATAAGATGATATTTATGATTTGTTTTTGCATCTATGAACTTGACTTGGTCTTAGTGATCATCCTCCCAATAATGTTTATAATATGATGTGTTGTATGTGATGATGATCTCTTGATAAAGTCTTTATATTTGCCAAAAAGGAAATATTTTGTTAAGGCTTTAATAGACATTATTTAGTCATGTTTTATTTTGGATAAAATTATAAGATGATATTTATGATTTGTTTTTGTATCCATGAACTTGACTTGGTAGGAAATTAAAAGTGAAAATGGTAAAATGATTTATGAAGGCAAAGCTTGTATTTTAAAATTAAAATTGGATGATTTGAGAAAAACCTAAGTCTATGAATATGGTTTTGAGAAAGCCACATAGTCGTTCCAGATCCACTAAGTCCTTATGAAAATCATTTTAAACTGTTATACTATTATATAACTATTGCTTGTGAATGCATATATATATATACCAAGTCAATATTTTTTATTACAGAGAAAAACATTACGTCTTGACGGTATTTATAAAAAATTGGAGAAACTGTCATGCACTAGTTTCTAAATGCCCATATGCCTTGACCCATGTTTATAGTTATTTAAAATCCTCGATTACCTAAGATCTTAAACCATTGGGAATGTTGAAGGAAGGTCATCATACTAGGCTTCCATGACATATGTTGTGTTGATTAGATAACTTGATTTGTATGGATTTACTACTAAGATGACTAGTGTGGTTGAACCTTTGTGGTTTATGAAGGTTTTTGATATTGTGAAACTAACGGGTATAGAATTACATATTGCATAAGACTTGTTATGCTACCTCATGTTATATGTATAAGAATGTTGAGAATGTATATGTTGTATGTTCAATAATTGAGTAGGAGCTGCTACAGTCCCATGTTTCTTTTAGCTGCTTGGGTATTTAGATATAAAGGTGCAAACTATCTTACGGATCTAGATGATGCAAAGTCTACATCTAGATATGTGTTCATGCTTGAAAGGGGTACATATTCTTGGAAATCAAAGAAACAGAATGTGGTGGAATTATCCACTAGGAAGGCAGAGTACGTGGCGTGCTGTTTGGGGGCCAAGGAGGCCGTATGAATTGAGAAATTTCTTAATCGAATTGACTTTGACCCCATGTGTTGTGAGGTGGTAAGGATATTTTGTGACACGCGACGATGATATGCATGTCAAAGGAGTCACAATTCCATAAGAACTCCAAGCATATGAAATCATGTTTCTATCACTTGAAGAATGAGGTGGATTAAGAAAGATCGAGATCCAAATAAACTAAATATTTTAGTGGGAACACTTGCTAGTATTTGACATGCCAGATGAAACAACAGACTATAATATTGCTCACCCAAGGAACCTAGATGTATGGTACTGGTTGTATGGCTACAAAAGGGAGCAAATTATTTGAAGAACTCTTTTGAGCCTATGAACATACGACCCCATGCGATGAGGGTACGTGATGGCTTTCTACGACAACAGGTCCATGATTCACGATGCGATGTGAAAGATGGGCTATGATCACTTTTGGGATATGATTCGAACAACAAAGAGAAAACAACGTTGTCTTTATAAATCCTTTTGTGAAAAGATTGATGGAGAAATCCACGATTAATGTATTGAGCGATAATAAGTGAAAAATGCTTGAGAGAGAATTGTAATTGGGAGAGAGAGATGATGATGAAAAAAAGTGAAGAAGAGAGAATGTAAGGCCTTTAAAAGCTAAGTGTGAGATGTTGTGTTTATGTGCCATTACACGTCATGTATATTAATAGATCGTTCGGAAAAGCAAGTCAGTCACCTTTCAGGGTGAAGCGTATGTATCTACGAGAGATACCCCTTATGCACCATGGGAGCTGTGGTCGCATCAGATCTAGGTGACATTGACTCGTCTATTGGGAGGACCTGAAATCACAAACTAGGATTGCGATCTTTTGGTTCATCGGCCAGACTTTGGTGACCCGCTAATGAGCCACTGCTTGGACTGTGGGTTATGAGAAATACTGGGTTGGTTTGATAAAATAAGTATGGTCTGTAGTTCACAGTTGCAGGTGGAGTGCCCCATAATTGTTGATTTAATTCCTAAACCATATGGATCTTTTACCCATCAAATTTATTTAATTGTGCTTGTTTTATGATGAAAATTATTTTAGAATTATTATTTGTATTTTTATGAACCTCTGGATATTTTATTTATAATTTTTGGATTTATAAAATTAAAGATATTGATTTTACAATAATTTAAATATTCAAATAATATTCTAAAATTTTTTTTATTAATTTTAAATATATATCATGAGGGCCTATTGTGCACATAGGCCCACCATATTTCAATAAGGTGGGGCCCATGAGTGCCTCCCTTGGGTGTCACGCCCCATCCTTATTCTATTTTCTATGTTTGTGTTGATATGGCATGTGGCCATATGGTCAGAAGATATTGACTTGATATATATTTAAAAGATTTGGTAGAAAGATTGAGTAGACCTGCGTTATTTTATGGTATGCGCTATATTTTGATTAGATTTCATTTATTTAATTTCTATTGATGGGAAAATAGTTTAAAAAATAGGGATAATCGTTCACGCAACTTCGATAATGTTGATAGCCCATCTATGGAATGGATGTCTAAAATCTCTCACCCCATAAGTCACCCAATATCAATAGTTCATATTTAATCTCACAAAAAGAGACAAGCCAAGAAAAACCTTAAGAAACCCTAATATTGTTCAAAGCCTACAAAAAGGGATTGTCTCTATCTAAAAATCTTTACATCTTATCTCTTGTACCTAATTCCATATTTCTCTCTCATATCCCATTTAGAATTTCTCTCTCTTAAGAAAAGTTTATCTCTCATGAAAGCCAAAAAAAAAAAAAAAAGAGACGTCCCACTTTCTCATCTTTAATCTCTCTCTGATATTATGAAAGAACCTAAGGCTTTAGATTATGGAGTTCTTCTCTTTTCTATCTCTCAACTATGGATTTATGATTAAGGATTTTAGGGTTTAGCAAAAAGAGAATCCATCTCTCTCATATTAGACTGTTAAGGGAATTTACTTAGGCTTTGAGTTTGTGATCAATTCTATTGGTGTGGCTCGACCTAAACTTGCTTTCTCAATTAAAATTGAAGGTTGATCATTGATCGCAAAAATAAAAAAATAAAAAAAATAAAAATAAGTAAATAAATAAATTCAAGTTAGCCTAAAAGCAACTTTGAAAATAAAATCGAGACGACCGATATTCTTCGTAATTTCTCCCTATAAATAAAATATTTGTATTTTGCTCATAATTTTAGGTCCGTACCTAAATCACTCTTAAAAATAAAAATCATACCAACCCCATATTTTGACCGAAGGAGTAAACTCGCTTTTGAGTGAGGGTGTAACTTTCCTTCTTAGTTTGTTTTTGCATAGTGTATTCTTCGGCCGGCCAATTGAAACGGGTGGTTGACTGGTTAAAACCGTATAATAATACAGTAATAGTTTAAGAAAGAAAATATAGAGTACAATGACTACAATTACCCCTTGTGAAACTAAAGCACTGTGTAGAGAGTCTGGATAATGGAGAGGCCTATGACAAGGATGGAGAAGGTCATAAACAACCTGGCCATCACAGGCTGCTTGCGGCTGTTCACCTGAAGCCGGATGGACTCATAGCTTACCAACGGGAATGGTGGCCACCAGCGGGAGGCAATCCCTGAGTAGAAAACCTGCGTAAAGAGGACCGAGGCATCAGCGTTGCTGCTCAAATCATTTTCGAGGATCCCCGCCGAGCACAACACCGGCACATCGTTCGGCTCACGGACCAGGTCTCGCATCACCATCACATAAGATGCTGTTGTTAAGCATAACCAAGGCATGCTACTCCCGCACTCAAGCATGTTGAGCAGCAAATCCACGGCGAACTTGTTGAGGCGCATGCATGGAATGATGAGAGTACCATTACAGCTGAGGGAGCCTGTGCAGCTCCCAAAAAAACTCGATCCTGAGGGAGCCTGTGCAGCTCCCTTTGTAGGAGACGATCCCCGCTCTCTGCAAAAAACTCGATCCTGAGGGAGCCTGTGCAGCTTCCTTCGTAGGAGATGATCCCCGCTCTCTGCAAAAAACTCGATCCTGAGGGAGCCTGTGCAGTTCCCTTCGAAGGAGATGATCCCCGCTCTCTGCAACGCTGAGGCACTCGGGATGCAGTTGGAACGGAGGTTGGCCACAGGATAAGCATCTGGCACGCCTACATCAGGATCAAGAACTTGTGGCCGCTGCCTTAGGCCACTGCATAGGTCCAGCATGAGGGAGTAGAAGAAGGAGAGAAGTCTGATTAGTGGAGCAAGGATGGGAGTGTGATGTCGGACAGGCAGAGTCATGGTGGTCAGGGCGTCAAGGAGATGGAGGCATTCCGGGAAGTGTATGTCATGAAACTTTTCCTGTATGTTTTCCACATAAAATATGCGATTGAGGAAAAGGAATAGCAGCTCGGAAAAACTTACCTTACTTGGATACCACTGAGGAGACCTGAGAGCCTCCAAGAGCTGCATGGGGATCTGGTTATATCCATCATTACCTTGGGGAGATCCGTCGCATACTCTCTCATCCCAAACACAGAGTGATCGCTTGAGTACCCCAATTTCTTGCTTGGATACTGCAATACGTCGACCTGGAACGTCGTCAGGATCGCCGTGTACATCACCTCCAACACGAACAGTCTGTCCATCACCATCGCCTCCACAATCTGTTCCTTCATTGCCTCCAACTTCTTCATGTCTGAAGTACGATCGTATCCGGTAACTGCATCTTAGCATTTCCTTATAACAATGGTTCACGCATCCACTCTTTTGACTTGCCGCTCCTCGTCATTACGACGCGCATGGCAAGTTCCTTTAGGAGTCGGCATCTCTCTCGTTTGGCTCCGTCATGGAAAAGACCGAGCCAGACTACCTGAGGCTCATACCCAAGAGGGTTTCGCCTCCGAATTTTAGGATCCACGGACCAATTTGAGGGAGCCTTGAGCTCTGCACTTGCTAATCTTAATTTATCATCAGAACCAAACCTAAGGAACGGTTGCTCTTTGTCTTCGGGAATGTTGATGGCGGTCTCATGCCCTAATCTGCTATTTCCCTATCACCACTCTCCATGCTCAGCGTCTAACCACTGAAATTCAGCTGATCTCCGGCTCCTACTCTTGGCTCTTTCGCCACCGGTGCTCTGAAAGAGGAATATCTGGTGATCGACAAATTACAAGGGTTTGGTAAGTATGTTACCTTTCCTTCGTTGCAAGTATTATACGATAACTCTCTCGATCACAGTCCCATTTCAACTTTGGTTACTTTGAATGCCAGTTTGAAGGCTTGAGAGAGAGAGAGGGAGAGAGTACATTTGGCCCTCGAGTTTGGGCATTTTCTTCGTTTTGCGTACGTATCCATTAAATATTTCAGTACGACCTTTTTATCCGTATTCTTATATATTTTAAAGGGTAATTAATGTCCGTACCGAACCCAGTTGTTTTCTCCTTTTCCATGTGATTCAATAAATATCTTAATACGACCTTTTAATCCGTATTTTTAGATATTGTTGTGGGATTGAAATTGGTAGATCTAGGTAAAAAAATATATAGGTCAAGACGTAAAGCAGCATAGGGTTAGGAACTTTTCTTCGGTTTTGTTATTGTATACAAAATTAGGAACTTCTATTCGGTTTTATTATTTAGTAAATCAGCATGGGTCAGGAACTACTCAAGTTTGATGTCTATTTTGTGTAACGATTAAGTCTGGGAAAGGCATATCATTGATTTTAGAATGGAATATGGAATGAAAAAATAGTTCTCAGAATACTTGTGCAAAATAGAGAGGAATAATTCATAATCTCTAACGCAGAAAAAACGAATGTAAGCATTAAATTCAATCGCTTCACTTGTGGATGTACCAGCATCAGTCGAAATTGGATATTTTTCCCCAGTGGCTAGATTCAATATATTGTTTCCAACAAACATGACAACATCGGGAGCCACTCACAACATGTATGGTACATCCCTATGGTCTTTCACTTCAAGCAAACACATGTTTGGTGATTTTTTTCCGTAAAATATAATGGTCAAACTCATTGGTGGCAACATCTTAATGTGCCTTTAGCTACTCCAATGACAATTTACATTTACATATGAAATAGCCACTAAATCTTGCGACAAGATAGGTGAACAACATCTCATAGGAACAAATTGCTCATAGGGACAAATTAACAAATACGTCGATACAAAATATATCAATACACAAATCATCAATACTCATAACTTGTAATACACAAACTACATGAACACTAGATAAATTTATATACAAATCATCAAATATGAATCAAAATATCTAGAACAAAATGAAATATAGTACTATCTCATAATTAATGCAGTCTACAAAAATTCCCTCTTCTACAAGTAACAAATATGAAACTTATAAACTAAATAAAAAACTAAACAAACACAGTTAGCAAACTTACATTCAAATAGAATAAGAAATGCAATTTTGTACATTTTGTTAGATTCAAATGTAATAAAATGTAATATTTCATACATAATGGAATATATAAAGGGTGTGGTTTGTATAAGAATAAGGCCCTAAACAGTCAAAGTAAAGCTCATCTTCAAATAATGCCAATATATGTTGTTTCAGTATCAGGAATCTTTATAATGGCTTGAAAATAATTATAAAATTTAAAAATTCAAAAAAGTGTAAATCGAGCAGATCTATGAACACTTGAAGATCTTGAAAATTCATGGTCTAGATAATACATCAAGAGATGCACTATTTCCAGGACTTGTAATCCAATTTTTCTTATGTCCATACGTTTTGAAGTCAAGATGATCGAATTGAGGACTTTTCAGCATTGAAACAACCTCTTCTAGTGAATTTTTGAGGTGCGGCTTAATTTGATTATTTAGGGACTCACCTTATATAAATGTTTTTTTATAAATAAAAAACACCTTTCGACAAGAAATAAATATAACTATTGCAAATTTAAATACAAAAAAATGGAAATATGGTAAAAATCTAAATAGAACATACCCTGAGGAGTATGATTCTCCAAGTGGGGGATAATGCAAAGGTACAAGACATATGAGAGTAAAGAGGGTAAAAGGGAAAAACATGAGAGATTTAGATGAGCTTGATAATAGAGAAAATAGGGGAAAGTCTCTAACTTTCTCTCATAATATAGCTTTCTTTAGTTTGGGCATAGTAAAACCAGGAAAAGTCGGATCTCATTTTTTCCCCACTGTATTGTTCCCTTGAATAAAGTTGCAGCCTATGGGGACGCCTGTGCTACAACTCGCACGGATCAACAAGGCCCCTCATAAAGCCCTAGCCTGCTTATGAGAGAAAGAGGGAGCTCAGGGAAAATAGATGCTCACGCTAAACCACTCGCAACCTATTCATATTGGCACTTCTTTATGAACCATTATAACTCACTCCACTCTCCTTCCCAACCCATCTCCACCACGAAAATGATAGGTATGCTTATATTTATACTAAAACATGGGGGCAAAGAACTCGGTTCCTTGCCTTGGTTTCGGTGCAAACGTGTTGAAAAGTTGATAGAGAAAGAGTCCCGTCAAATTACATCCCGAGCAAGAATTGGGCCACAAGGTCGTATCTTGCACGAGCCGCCTGTAATACCGGCTTTTCGTGCACCTTAGCCTTGAAGTTCAAGAGAATCCATTTAAAAGCGTTTGATAACAAGAAGAGGGGGGGAGGGGTTAACGAATATCGTTTAGAAATAGAGAGATGACAATAAAATCAGACAAATCTAACAAAAACCAAACTAATCTAATATAGCTTCAAATCATGTTCATGAATAACTTAATCGTTTCAAATGATAGTCATATGATTGAGTAAATTATTATACGCATGATCATCTCCTGATCATAGCCATATTTTTAGTCAATGTTTATCCTTATGCCATTCAATGTCGAATTCATAGGTTCCAAATTTTAAAAAATCTTCATATGAGCAAAATCACGAAAAGTTGTTTCCATCTTCCATCGTCTGGCAGTTAAGCTATGCGACATAGCTTATAATGTGTTTCCATATTTCTTTCATTACTTTGAATGGTTGATTCTTTGATTATGAAATTTGGGGAGCTGAAAGAGGACCCAGAGATGAACACAATGGTTTAAATCTCACTTCAAATGGACTTCAGACGAGAGAGATATGGTCCGTTCAAAGTAGTATGTTTTTGTTGGAAATTGCATCAGCAATAATAGTCAATTGCTGATGCAACCACTTCTGCTATAGAAATCAATCATGTTACACCTTTTCAGGGTGAAAAAACAACGAGTCATGAATCCAATGGTCTTGGTCTAATGAGAAAATTCCTTATATCAAAAAAGAAATCTCCATTTTAGTGTCCAGATATCGTCTTGGCTGTAACGCAGATAACATAAAGCTTTTAAGACTTTAACTAACGGGGTATATGGATGATGAATGAATTCACTTCTGGGTGATACGAAACTTCAGGATGAGGACATGATGCCTCTAAAATAGGTCTCTAAGAGTTTCGACTCAATTTCAAAACGTTAAGTGCTGGGGTGTCAGTCCAGGCATATCTTAACTGATGGTGGATATGGACAAGGTTAGGCCAATATGTACATCTTGGAATTTAAGGCATATCAGGCGTCAACATGTACATCTTCAAGGATTTACCTCGATATATCAACATATGGCGAGGTTTCCCTTGTCTCTGTTTGTTAAAACCCCATATTCTTAATTGATGGGTTAAAAGAATGATATTTCATCTCACCCAAAAGTCCTTCAATATCCAGTGGAGAGGCATCCATGTGCCATGGGAGTATAAGTATCCCAGAGTTTCATCTCAAATTGAAACGTCTTTATGATATCTTATCATAAACTATAAGTTACGATGTATATGTGTAACTGATGATGGATTCAGAAAAATATGTATATCACTTTGTATTAGGTTCCTCCACATATCACATCGATAGGCATATCGAGGCCATAGGAGCATATGTATCCTAGAACATCTCTCACAATGATATGGCTTTCATATCTTCTATCATCAATTGTAAGTTAAACTTGAATATGCTTAACCGATGAGCTTTTATTATATCTTTATCGACCATAAGTTAGAACATATAAGGGCTAACTAAGGAGTCAAGCCTCTGAATGCATATTTGGGCCCTCATATCACGAGTCCTGAGCATATCATATCTACATATCATGGGGCACATCTGAGCAAGTGTTATCAAGAGCAGCTCACATATCTATCGATAGTACGTTAAGATAGTTATCCATCATGCGTTAGAAATTAGCTTTTATTCAGCATGCATTATAGGCTTCACTATACATATCTTGGCATCTTTAGTCTATCAAGCATTCATTTTAATACACTTAGCCTTGTATGAGGGCTAGGAAACATGCTTATCATTAGAAACATATCTTCAAAGGCCAACGTGTGTTACAAAACTCACTCTTATCCAGTGTTCGTTACAAAAATTACCCTTATATCAATACCTCTATCAAACTTTAGTTAGAATACACTTAGCCTCATATGAAGACTAGAAGTGTACTCAACCCAAGATACATCTAGTTGGACCTGATTTTTCGTCACGGGAACGACAGGAAAAATCCTCTCTCAAACAACTTCAAAGGGTCCATGCGCGTTGCATGTGTGCTCTCCTATGTGCAGATGGGAACCAACAAAGAGAGAGATTTTACAACAGGGATGTGTTTAGGCACTTACCTCATCGTTTTGGGGTTTGGGACACACCCGGGCAGTTTTCCCTCTTAGAACAATTACTAAGCCCTCTAGCTGTCTATCAGCGTGGTTTGGACACGGACTCTCCTCAGGCTTTTCAACTCGTTGCTTTGTTCTCTCGTGTTGGAAACTGCAATATGGGCTCGGTTGTACTCCTCTATAGTGGCTCGCTCGAACGAGGGCTGGCTAATGAAAAGAAGGGATAAAGGAGAAATGTGATAAGGATTCCCTCTCGACGTGAACGTTATACGCTCGGGTGATCAGAGCAATCAAATGATTAGAACGCTCTTAACCTATCGGCTCAAGAAGACTCCTCCGGAGTGACTGAGGGAGAGTGCGTGTGTGTCTCTCACAACTCAACTAAAATATACGGAGAGGAAGTTAGAGTGATGATCTGAGGGATGGAATCCTTAGGTCGACTCTGAAAGGTATTCGGTCTAGCGTATGTCAGATAGCAGCGTGCTATACGGCACCGCAAGCTTGCTGCACCTATGCTAGAGATGCGAGGAGGAAGAGACGAGGCCATGCGTTCTCTGTTGGCATGGGTTACTGTGCGGGGCAAGTAACAAATGAAGAGATAGAAAAAGAAAAGAGGAGGGAGAGAGGGAATGGAGCCGGGCAGCTAGCGAG